TCTGGTAAATAAATATAGACACGGTTTGATGTTGTTTTAACCTCCACTCCTTAGTGCCCGCTCCTCTCCTCCCACACCTTGCCTGTCTTTCTTTCCTGTTTTCCTCCATGTATCTCCCTAATGGTCCAATAATATCCTGTTTGCTTCTCTCCATTCTGACCTTCTCCCAGTAGCATTTAGTCCAAGCTCTGTGTGGCGACACCAGCAGAAACATGCTGCCTGGTTGCTCTCTGCTCTGGTGGTGTGGTAACAATAAATCTATCAGGTCATTGCCCTAACATTTGTTCACAAAGTGAAATGTCTCCCTTTGTGAAGAATGTGGTCTAATGAGGAGATTAGATTTGAACCTGGCAGACCTATGTACTGTATGAACTCACAAGATGAGTTAATCATTTGCCTTCATCCAAACCTAGAGGGTGAAGAACTAAACCATAAATCTGAGGTTTGCAACAACCCGAAAACTTATTAATACACATCAGGTTGTCAGTGTTAGCAGTTCAAATTATTGTAGACTATCAGCAGTGGTTTATTTATTCAGCTACAGTGTATTTGTTTTAACAACTATTGCATGGATAGCTATGAAATTTGGCACATGTTCCCCAGCATTACATTAGGACAAGACAAATGTGCAGCTTTTGACTGGATATAAGACATCTGAATTATCTGATTGGCTAAGACAGCCGTGCCTAATTTTCCAGTCCATTTACAATCCTGTGGTGCAAGAAAATATATTTACAACCTTGTTAAAAATTAAGCTTTTGCAGCTTCCATGTCCAAGTCAGTGATTGTTGACCATTCTGGCTGATTTGTCGGTTTGTACAAATGATACTGACTGCTTCCTCTGAAAAAGTGTCAAAGTCAGGACCACAAAAGACACTCCACAATAATGCAAACAGTTCCAAGTTATACATTAAGAAACACACAACTTTCCTCTCTTTTACACACACACTCATAGATAGGCTGCCCTTGTGACCTTGTGCATAAAGCAAACACCTTCTCTCTGGCACGTTTTCATACATACTTGCACAAATGACCTTTAAAAGAAAACAGCTGTGTGTGTGTGTGCGTGTGTGGTTGTTCTACTCTTTGTAACTTTATCCCCACACCATTTATTTAGAGCCGATGAAGATGAAGTGTGTGGGATTATGTGAGTCTATGATGAGGAAACCACCTGGAAAAGTAAATGCCAGCACAAACAGAAATATAAGGAAAAAATACCAGCCAGCAAAGAGCAAGTTCAGCACTGATGAGTCTCGATCTGAGCATGTGAAGTAAGATGACTATTTGAACCACATGAGCTGAGTGTGTATTTACTGTATGTCCAGAGTGTCACCCGACTCACCTGACAGCACAAAAAAGAAAATGATATGGCAGATTCACATAAACAATTACAACGATGGAAAGTAAGTTTTGTACTTGAATACAAATTTGAAGTACTTGCACTGATCAGCCATAACATTACGACCACCTGCCTAATAATGTGTACACACGAGTCAGTGTGGCAGTTATTGGCACTCGTCAGTCTGAAAATCACTGTTTCACAGTTCTGCTGTCAGGAAGAGCACGGATTAGTTGACCATTATGTGAAAAACTTTTGTAAAAGGAGTGGAAACTGTGGTTGTGAGGACAAGTTAGAGATGATTGTTTAGACCAACTCAACAGCCCCCTCACTCTAGGTGTGATATCACCACTACAGCTGCTGAATGTTTCTCTTCATAGATACCAATGGGCAGTATTTCTCATTTTCAACTATTTTAATAGGTTCAAATCTTTTGAAAAGGGTGAATGAAAAATAAAGGTTTAATCTACAGAATGTCACCCTCATTATCAGTGAGCCGTGGGCGTCCATGACCCTGTCACTGCTTCACCATTTGTCCTTCCTTAGACCACTTCTGGTAGGTACTGACCACTACAGACCAGGAACACCCGCCCATTTTTCCTGCTTCCAACACATCAACTCTGGACTGGATGTTCACTTGCTGCCTAATATACCCCAAACACTGGCAGGTGCCACTGTAATAAGATAAACAGTGGCATTCACTTCACAATGCTATGGCTGATCTCTGTGGATTTTATATGAGTATGACTCATGATACTGAAATACTGAAACTTTACTCCACTGCATTTACCTGACAGCTGAGTTACTTTGAGGATTTAGGTTTGAGGATTTAGGTTTTATGTGTAATCAGCAGATAAAATATGTTACGTTTTATAAACTAAACAGTAGGCTATATAAAACAGTTATTATAGATTTTCCCTCAACCAGCTGCTGCATTAAAATGCTGCTTGTACTGCATGTTCATTTATTCAACTCACTGATAATAATGCACTAATATAAAATATACAGTCCAGACCAGTTTATGGACAGTCGCAGTTTTTGTTGTTTGGGCTCTAAACATCATCACATTTAATTTGAAATAAGACTGGATACTACATTAAAGTGCCAAGTCTTAGATATAAATAAATAAGATGCACCATTTAAACGTTAGCCTAGCATAGGCTAAAGACTGGTCACAGGGAGCAACAGCTGGACTCTGTCCAAAGTAAAAAAAAAAAACATTATAAACTTATCTTCTGATAATGAGTCTTAATAGTGGAATAAATCTTTTCATCTAGCTCTTACCAAGATGCTGCATAAATATATTTTCCAAAAATGTTGAATTGTTCCTTTTGTCAGCATTAGAAATACAATAGATGAGGTAGAAGATCTGATTTATTTTTTGGTTTGGTAACTGTAAATACAAAGTGAACAATGGACAGCTGAGAAGCTTTCACAACAAAGTGTGTGTGTGTGTGTGTGTGTGTGTATGTGTGTGTGTGAGAGAGAGAGATATTCCCATTCACATCAACAGGTGTCAGCTGCCCTCTGAAGACAGAGGCCGCCTCTGTTCCCCCTCTCACACACTTACTGGCCTCAGCAATGACCCGCTAGCCGAATAAATCATCCACTTTCAACTCTGATGAATCGACGCTACTGTATGTAATCCGTTCTCGTCTTTGTGCTGGAGGTCTGATGTCTTGTTCAGTCTCCGTCCCTGACTGTTACTATATTTCTAACTCTTTTGGCCTGTCCGTCTGTCTTGCCATCACTTTCTCTGGGCTATGTCCTTTTTATGCCATCTTATTCTTCAGCTCATTTGCAATAACCTGTTTTGAGTCCTGCTCATCCAGTGAGCTACAGAGCACAGCTGTGTCACTGCTATTGTTTCATAAACAGTATCTCACTGGATGTTTTTATCTGTGTTTGTCTGATGTCCTGTCACAGCTTGTCTTCCTTTCTGCAGATGTCATTTCCTGTACAGCAGTGTATTTTTGTCAACTGCCTGTTGCATCACACCAATTTATTTGAACCATGTTTGGCCCTCTGGCCACGTTTACCGAGTCACCCTACAAAGACTTCCAGCAGACAGGTACGGCTCCTTAGGCCACCGGTTTTCTGTCGGTCCACCACTTCCTGACTGAGGGAAACAATGACTATAAAAGCAGGGCTTCAGCTGAGCCTGGACAGGCCAGACACACTCTGCTGTGGGAGGTGAGACAAAGACAGGCTGTAACATGATGCTAGACACACCATCTGGAACTCAGACACCCACACACTGTACAGATACACTGACACACTTGTATAACAGGTGTGTTTGTCTGAAGACCACCTGGACTGAGTTGTTTACTTCTACTACACTACGGTTATTGACAGTGGTTGTTTGCCGATCTAAACATGTACTGGACACACGCGCCAGCTCGGCCTTGGTGAATAAACAAACCTGCTCTGTTATAAATAATAGAGTGCAACTGTACAGCTGTTTCCATATGACCACAGTTCCTACTCAGTGTTTCCTCATTGTAAAAAGCTGAAAATAAACAAGAAATAAAAGCAGTAATAGCAAGCTGAGATTCAGACTCTGTCAGGAATATAGATGTATACTGTTGCGTACAAGGAGGTGACTAATTAATGCAAAACCATGAAGAGAAGAATGGAGGAACATATCAAATGCATACTTCCATACAGGTCATGAATGGTTTGATGGGTATGAAATCACCTGATCTCAGCCTCACTGAACACCCACATGAAGATTTTGGCCTGACATGTTTGTTTCTCTGAGTATTTTTGGCTTTTGGCTGGTTGGTCAGATGTTACATTGGCCTCTGAGAAGTAGTCATGGTTATCTTTCATTATTTTGTGACATTATAATAGACTAAACTAGTCAAGGCAGGTTTATTCTTAAGGAAATTAATGATTACTGCCTCCAGTGTCAAACTTAATCTGACAGTCTTGTGACTATACAACACACTGGGGTGTACCTGACGTTGTTTTCCATAAATTTAAGGCCTGCAAGTAACGGTGACTGTCTATATTTGTCTGTAAATTATGTAAATTGATTGTTTGATCAGTAAAATGTCAGAAAAGAGTTCATTTCCAAAAGCATAAGCTGTTCAAACTGCTTTTGTCTCAGTGTTTACAATCGACTTGAACTATTATTGCTCATTTATATTTTGTTGGTCGGATACTTCATTTATCCAACAAAACGACACGGTCTTGGCTGTTATCTTCCGTGGAGTAGAAACGTTCCGCTTTAGATTGGCAGCCTTGCAAAATCTGAGCCACTATAACCAAGTCAAGGTTAACCTGCTGATTAAGGGAAAAACATAACCCAAGGCCGAGGGCGGAGTAAGCTCCATAAAAACAATAAAGGAGCCAGCCTGGGTGGTTTGCCAGGATGCTGCTGGGTTTTAGTTCACTGTTCTGCACAGTCAACATCATGTCTCTGTTGATCTCAAGCTCAGAAATGAGGAAAACAATGATCACAGCGACCTTTGCTCGCTGACACTGTCTCTCTCACACACACACACACACTCACTCACACACAGCCGTGTATTACAGCTACCTGGGTAAGGTGGCCTGGTTGTCCGGGACTGACGCGCAGCTGGGAGCGTACAGTCCACTTTTCGGCAGCGGTTCCGCGTTGCTGTGGTAACCCGTTAAAACCACTCCCTGGGACTCCTGCTGCTGCTGCTGCCAACTCATGTTTCTCCGCCGTTTCTTCTTCCTTCATCCAAACACTAACTCACAGGGGATCTGTCCACCCACCTGCAGAGGTCAACATACATCTGTGCTTTCCATCGCTTCGCTCCTACGTTGCCGACTCATTCTGACATCAGACTCCCCTCCTTCTCTCTCCGGCTCCCTCTCGTCTTTCTCTGCAATTTGCGTGACAGGTCGGGCCGGGGCCGGATCACAGAAACAACACGGCACCGGGATTGGCTGAAACCGTAGGGCAAAGTTTCATACGTAGTGGCGCCCCCTGCTGGAGAGAAATGGACTAACTATCCCGGCGCAACGTACCGGTGTCAAGCGGAGCAGCACTCAGATGGTTTACTCATCGTAGTTCAAAGTAGGAACACCAGTGGAAAGATACTGTTACAGGTCCTGTATTCAAAACGTTACTCAAGTATTCAAGTATTAGCATCAAGACATTTTAGAGTAGAATACTAAAAGTAACAGTACCATTATACAGAATGGCACATTTCCCATTAATGTAGACTATATTATATTGTTGGATTATAATTGTTGCTTTATTGTGTTCATCACATTTATTGTTCCAGCTAGTAGAAGTGGAGCTACCTTATAATTTGAATTACTGCTGGGTACCTGGTGAATTTTTATAATCTGTATTGTACTTGCTCTGGATATACAGTGGCAAATAGACCAAAAACAAGATATCTTTGGAGAGAAAAAGGGGGATTTATTTTTATTCTTAGGACCTCAAGAGTGATCGGACCCCCCAGAACAAACCCCCTCCCTACAGTTCAGTACAAACAGTATTTATTCACTGACTGTTTGTGTTTCCATAACATTTATTAATTTGAGGTGAGAACACATTCTGCAAAGCATATGTTCAAACAGAAAAATGACTGTGGAACCACATCATGAACAAACAACTGAAGAACTTAACTTTTTCAAAGAAAAAATAAGACTCCTGCACGATATCGTATGCAAAAATGTTATGAAGAACAATGTGCCGAGGAACCTTGAAAGTTTACACCTGCTGCATCTGCAACGCACAATTGTATTAATCTGGTCAGTCTTAACAGATAAAATAGAGGGTTTTTCTGTTCACTTCAATACTGGACAGTAAAATCTAAATACCTCATTTAATGCGTCATGCAACATAAAACAACCATTAGACATTTTGTTAGTATTCAAGCACTCCAGTTTCTGTGAAGCTTCAATATCGTGCCTCTCACTAAGACTCATGGGAGCTGTGGATTTTTAAACTGGATGTCTTACCCTTTTCCCTTCATATTTACATCTTCACTGGGCCCTGCAGGTCTCAAAACATCTTTGTGTACATTTCTTTCTGTTTGTCCAAGCTGTCCTTGCAGCATCTGGAAAAATAAAATGATTTACATATAACGTGTTAGCTTGTGACTAGCCTTGCCATTTTAAATCAACAAAAACACCAGATATCAATGAAAATACCGGTCTAGCCATCCTAACACAATTTATTCTAAATACACTGTGTGTGTCAACAAATGCTGATTTTACATTGCCGCTTTCATCAGAAGGTTGTTAATGTCACTGTCAAAGGGCTTCTTTGCTTGAGCACGGAGGAGAAAACTCTTCGCACTCTCATACTCGAGCAGCTCCAGATATGCCTGACAGAAAGTACATGGACCGGTGTTATTTACAGCCTGAGCACATAGCAACACAGAGCTGAAGGTCAGAATACTGTCCCATAGATCTCAAGCTGGATTTAATGTTCAGAAATACACAATGTGAAAACATTCTGAGCAGCACTGGTGCTGAGTTACCGTAATTAAAGCTAGTTAAAAAAAAAAGTCTCTTTTTTGGTTAATATGTGGCATTTTCAACTTTTCAGTGCTGGGGGGGCATCACTGTAACTGCCCCCAAAATGCTTTGGTATCATTAAAAATCCATCATTCATCATAACTTCACAAACACTGAACTAATAAATATGCTGCACTCTATTCTGCCCATGCTGCCATCATCCTTATTCTTAAATTCTTTTGCAGTCTGATGCACTTCAGAGCTTTGAGGATTTCTACCCAATGGTTTTGAAAACCAACACAAAAAAAAAAAAAGCCCTGTCTGACCTGTCCACAGCGGAAAAGAGCCTTTGTGTTGGATGAGTCTATCTCCAAGGCTTTGTTGCCATATTTCACGGCTTTTCTTGGGTTGTTCAGATGGAGTTCAGTGAGCGATAGGTTCAGATAGAAAGGAAGAAGAGCTGACTTGATCCTCTGCTTCTCTGGATCACCGTGGGTTTCCCTGTTCCCCAGCAGCACCAGTCCCTGTTGGACAAGCAGAGTCCATTACAAAATACATTTTCACCATTAACGGTACACAATAGAAGCATGGCACCTCGACACCTAATAAAATTAAATGTAATTAAAAAAACAAACAATAATAAGTACCTAAGAAAGACGCATTGTTTCTTTATCTTTACCTGTTTATAGCGATCTTTTGCATCGTCATAACGCCTCTGGTTGAAGCAGCGGTTGCCAAAGCTGCGCAATGTGTTGACAACCTCAAGAAGTGTGGACAGTGGAACAGCGTTCTGCTCCTCCTGAAGACAAAGACAAGCAGTTTTATGAGACAACCAAAGGGACACACAGGTTGACCTTATTTTGGAAATGTAACAAACAGTATTATAAAAAAAAAATGCACTAGAGAATAGGCTATTAAGAACCTGCAGAACCAGATAAGCTTCAAGGACCATAATGGGCTATGGCTCGTTTCTGGGAGCAAAAGAACCAGATTCCTTAGTTTTCCTTAAAGGTGCACTAACTAGCATCTGACGCAGTATCTGATAAATCAGGTGACAGTGGGACAGGACGTGGTGTCTCTATACACCCCTCCATGACACTCTGCTGCCTACAGCTCTTCTGTTGTTATTCCAGCATCTGTACCCTGTGCTTACAAAGAACGGTCTGTAAATTAGCCATGAGTGGTCATGTCGAACAGCCAGCCATGGAGGAGCTCTCGACTGTGAAACAGTGGCTGTCAGACTGAAAAGGTCGCTTTCTTTTGAACAAAGAGATTGGGACAAAGACGGAGTTAAAAGCAGCCAAAGAAGTCAAATCTGATTTCTTCTTGATATGCTAGAGCCTAAAGCTAATGTCTTTGTTTTGGTAAGATTAGCAACCTAGCCTCTACCTTTAACTGAAGTGATATGATTTTAAATTGGGAGTAATTTGAGCTTTATGTAACATTGATGTTTTGTGTCTCATTAGCAGTAATAAGAGCATTGTGCTGGATTGACAAATTTACTCATCAGCTAATGCTCTATTTGGACCGAAGGCTGCACTGTGTACAGTTTGTCGCAACTAGGCATCTGTAGTTTATGCCATCAATAGGAAACAGGCCGTGATGAGAGGGGCAAAGAGCATAAGCAGCTTATGGTGTCAGTTTGTTTCGAGCCTCACTAAACCCTCCAGCAGCTGAAAAGAAATTAGATAGAGTAGCTGTAACTGCAGAAATAAAAATGCAAACATGGAGGAATATATAAGTAAAGGTTTAGTTGGTAGCCTAACTTCAGTAAGCATCTTCTACTGTCAAGTGGGAAAACCACATCTCAGTGCTGTCAGATGGTGACAAAACATCAACGAGGTGACAACAGCATCAACAAGGCTCCTGCTTCCCCTTACCGGAATCAGCATGGTAAAGTCGTCAACTTGTCCTGAGTCGAGGAAGTCGAGGATTTCAACCTCATACAGAACCACAGCAGCAGCGGGAATTAATGGAGGACAACCTATGTCTCCATATGCATATAGGGGCTGAAAAAGGAAGCGAGAGAACTCTCCCTTTTGCATGGTCAGCAGACCCTGCTCCAGGCCAACCAGTGTCATATCTGTTTGAAATATTATTCCAGATGATGCAATTTTACAGTTTATTAATGCATAAGACTAAGAAAAGCAGCTAATCTTCTCTTCTGAAAGTCTGAAATATAGAACAAAGCAATTATAAACATCGTGGCACATTCATTTTCTGTCAATCAAGTAATCAGCTAATTGTTTCAGCTTTACTAACATCCTTCTAGAAGGCCACCATTTTTATAAGCTAAGATGCAAATTACTGCTCAGTGAACCTGCACAAGGCATTTCTGACCTCTCCCTAACTTCATCATCCGGGGGTACTTGAAGTCCCTGTTGGTTTCAAAAGGTTGGTCAGAATATTCCAGGAAGCCAGAGTAATAAACTGTAAGAAAGAGTAGACATCAGCCATCAATCTGACTAATAATGGTTAACCAGAGGTTTTAGAAAAACAACTGCACTTATAGTTACTCAGTATTGAAGCATTAGGGGGGATAGATGCGCCTTCTCCAGGTTGGACCACTTCCTTCAGGATCCCACCATCTCCAGAGATATCATGCATCTGCCTGCTCAGTAGTTCAAATGGGCTCTACGGCAAAAAAAGAAAGCTCTGGAATGAGTACACACTATCTTCACAAACAAGTATCAATCATGAGTAAAGCTGCATTTGAAGTCATAAGTATTAACCAGTACAATATTTAAGTTTGACTGAATGTCTAAACGAAGTTTAACAAGCATTTTCATTGTACTAAACACATCTACAATAGTTACAAAAGGTGGGATGACAATATTGCTATAATGCTATGTCAGTTTTAACTTTCCAATATGTATTTAGTACAGATACTTCATGTATAATTTATACACACCTACATAGATTCATAGCACCATTTACTGGTTTTATGCAACAATAAATCAGTGCTCTCAAATCCCAACAAATGTAGGTTAAAGTAATTCATGTTAATGCTGTCTCACTGTGTTCACTGGGTTTTAAATTTGTGTTAAAATAGGATATTTGTGCCGAAATTTGTACTGAATCAATATTACATTCTTAACTTGACATGATCGATTATTGACATGTTAAAGGATTGCTCATTGGTGAAATGTCCAATTTCTCACTGCAAACATTCGGCGCAATTATACATAGCTGCCATTTCCTATGAAGCAGAAAAATAACCTCAATACTGTAAGGCTGTCAAAGAACAATACTTTGAGTTAAACAAGGTTGAAAGTAAAAAGCTTTTCTAGAGTCGGGGTTAAGCTAAAACATGACGTCTAGCATGCTAGCATGCTAACGTTAGCCGCGCCGCATGTTGGGTAACTCACTGGACGGCGACTCAGCCCCTGCTCCTCGGCGTTTATTAACCTCCGGAAACTGTCTACAAATCCGTTTACTGACATTTAGTTGTTGGTTAAGTTACCGCATCCGTTAGAAATTTTTTTATTTTAGCGCGATAAGCAGGCAAAATCGACGGCCGAGTTTGTTGGTCACCCAGGTTTGGTTCGCTCCAGTATGAGTCAGGTGACCTTGATAACAAATGAGAATCAACTGTGTAGCCAGAGGGCCAAAGTCTGTGTTACACAAAGTTTTCTAACATAGAAAAATTAAAGTGGTTTAATAAAACACAACTTTACAAAGGAGGAACTCAAGATGCACAAAAAAACTTTTGAAGTCCCTTTTTGAGAGAGGAGATACAAGGTGGGGAGTGGAGGACTTGTAATAGCTGATATTTTAGTTTAGTGTTGCAAATGATCAACAAATTAAAATATACATAATCAGTTTATAAAGACAAACATTTTATGGAGTAAACTCTGCAGCCCCTGCACAGTTGCCCATTTTGCTCTGTTGGAGCCTTGATCTCTGGGTGTAGCGCTCAGCTAGGTCAAGATCTTCATAGATTCAATCACTGGCACGCCCATGCATGCATGGATACACTGATATGAACACACAACAATGGTTTTGCATTAGGAATTTAATGGAAATCCAGTGGATGTTACTATAAAACCAGTATTAAAATGATTGTTTGTGGAATAAATTCACCAAACATGAAAACAACAAAATCCCCTCGTATTAAGATGAGGATTATGAAGAGGCTACAGAGATCATGGATTTTTTTCAGAGCAAGTTATTCTTTCTTTATCAGACTACTACAGTTTACTATTCTTGTACATTCTACACAGCTGAAAGGTTGCGGACGTACATCATTGTAACAATATCAGCCAGCAGAGTTTTTAAACTTGCTCATATTTAGCAGCTGTAAGTCCAGTCTTTTACAGGACGCTAGAGGTGTCATCTGCTTTATTACCTTTTGCTAAAGTTTACAATATAAATTTTGCAAATAAACAGAACTTAAACCGCACAGTATTTAAAAGAACCCTTCTTAAATAGACAAAGTTGTGCCATTTGTACAAGGAGGGATTTATTAGCTAAACAACAAAGCTATCTAGTAGGCAAAGTGTCTTGTGGTTGCTTCATGGAAAAATATGCACAACCTTCATAGATAATTTCTTATGCAATTGTTCACCTAGCAGTGAAAATCACAGCAAAAGAACACATCCTGAGACTAATGAGTAAGCCAGTTAAAGGCTTTCCTTGTTGTATTCATTAGAAGTTCTGCAGTTCAGCCGGATAGACAAAGTTGCTTCTGAAGAACTTATAGGCCAGGAGCTGTCCTCCAAATATCATCATCACTAGGCCTGAACCTGCAGAGAGAAAATCAGTGGAAGGTTTAGAAACCAGCAGCAGCTGTCCTTTAGAAACCTGAATCTGAAGGCATGTAGCAAGTTTGAGAGCATGAAAAAGTAACATCTTGGACAGAGAGAGAGGAGAAGGAGAAAACAGAGAGTGGAGTTTTCTTCTTCTGCAAACAGGATTGGAGACAGATAAGGACAAACATGGAGGAGCAGTCAGAAAGATGAAGGCGAAGAAATACAAATCTTACCCAAAGCTATCCACCAGTGCTCAGCTGAAGGGACGTCAGACATCACTGCAAAAATACAATGTATAAAACACAAAACATTACCTGTTATAAAACTTATACTGTAGAACAGATCTACACAGATGGAGAGATGCACAAATGAGAGATACAAGATTAGAATTTCTGGCCTTTCTTTGATGTAAATTTTGAAAATTCTAATAGTATTTATATATTTCTAATTAAATGTTGACACACAAATGGGTGGTGCCTGTGTGTGCGTGTGCCTATACATCTTCAAACTACAGCCACTACATACATCCAGTTACATAATCAGGCCTCCAGTCCTATAAGCTGTTCTGCCCTACTGAGCCATTTGTGTGTTTACCTGCTACAGTCATGACAATGTGCAGTAGTGTGACAGTTATGGCGTAATCCCAGACCCACTCCTCTACAATCCAGGCGAACACCGGCCCTCCCAAAACATACGTCACTTCTGTGGAAATTACACCAACTGCGGGGGGTGTGGGGTGGCACAGCACACAGTAGTTGCACATATATTTTGCCTTGCCTCATTGTACTGTATAGCTGAAACCAACACAAATCAGGTGCAATACAAGTGTGAAATGTTCCTTTACAGAGTGTTTTCAGTGTCTCAACTACACTGAAAGCTTTTATTAATCTCTCTGGCCATATGAAAACATCTGGTCATGTATGCAAATATAAAAGTGTGGCAGTTAGTGACCACACACAATTGGCATGCAGAGACACTGAAACTCAAGCATCTCCATGTAATTCTCTCATCATAAATTACATTTTTAACACCTGTGCTTTTACTACTGGCACAGGTCGAAGTGTCTTAATTATGAAAACGGCCTGTTGAGGACAGATAGCCAGACGGACAGTCAGCCAAACAACAGGACTAACTCTCTCACCAGTGGTACCAGTAGAAGATCAGATCTACTTTCACAGTAAAAGTAGCATAAGTAGTATAATCCACATTAGCTAACTGGATTAATACTACTGAAGGATTACTGTGTAAGCAGCATCCACGTTGTAGCTAGTGTAGCTACTGTTCACTACTTCATCTGCTGTTGGACAATTTGATCTGTAACAGTCAAAACTGATCATATGTCTCATATTTAAAATATAAATCTGCAAAATAGGTGGTAAAGAAAGTCAAATTAATGTAGTGAAGAAAAAGGTGCATTATGTTCCTCTTAAATGTTATATATATGTAAAGTAAATAAGTAAAACTGCAGGGAGGTAAGTACTTGGTTACATTGGTTACATACATACACTTCTACTCACCCAGGTATTTGGGGTTCTGCCATGACGGTTGTGTTGTGTAGTCGAATGGAGCCAACAAACTGTTGATCTCATGAACCCTGGAGACACGAGCGGACATGATACATGAGATATTAACTTTATTTAGAGCAAGATTTCAAGGCATCTGACCTTTACGTTTCTGCATGTCTCAGTATATGTGTGTACATAATGTGGGAGTGTACCTGAGCAGCCCAATGCAGAGACTGACCATGATGTAGTACAGAGAGTAGAAGCACACCATGCACATCAACAGATTTTGCAAGACGACCTGAGTAGGTAGAGAGGAGAAAGCAGTTACATTATACCTGCTGACTGATGAAGCCCTGTGGGTGTGAACTACAAAACCCACTGTGAAATCAGAACTGAATATTGCCTGATATACTGTATATCTCATTATTGTATAGACTGTATCTTACTGCCAATATGTTTGCATCGTTATTCAGTTTTTCCTTGATTTGACTGTTAAGCTTAGTGTGCTAAAACACCAAAACCCATAACATACGAGTTGTTAAAGTTTTTCCTTGATTTGACTGTTAAGCTATGAGTTGTTAGTCACTAGGTGGTTGAAAGTCTTGGCATTTCAGCTTTTAAAACATCTTTCAACCATCTGCAGACATCTGCTTCAAATTAACTGAGCAAAAACAGAGACCCAGGGAAAACAAGACTATGAGCAGCATGAGAAATATAACCCTGAGAGTGATTTTAATTCAACTAGAAAACACTACATTTGGAGATATTTAATGGAAAGACATCATTATTTGATGTTTTATGTGTGCCTCAAAGTGAACAAAATCCTTTTTTTTGAATGCAGCAGATAGCAGCAGTCTAAACTCTTCTTTCACTTATGATCAACGACATCATTTACAGGAGATAAGTGACATGACTCTGAGGAGAGCTAAAGGACCTTTTCTCACAGCTGACATTTCAGCTCATCAAACACAAGTGTAACGAGTGACATTAATAACGAGTTGCCATCCAGTCAGGCGTGCCAGTGCCAGGACCCTGCATGGTGGCTCATTGGCACATTAATGCATTGGAGTCATTGTTAATCCTGTCAGTTGCACCTGTGCTTTCACTGCTGTGACAAATCAAATGTCTGCTGTGATACAGCGCACAGATAGGGTGATAAACAGGCTCCACTACCCTGTCTTTTCACAGGAATATTCATTTCTACAAATGTGTTGCACTTGAGTTGATCTAGTTCCATGGTTATCAAGGCACATAGTGTCTAAGTATTGTTTTTTTTTTTTTTTTATTCATCTGTCAGTCATTTTTATGACTGACTTATTTATTCTATATAAGAAAATAACCAACAGTTTCCTAGAATGCAAGGTTGTCTTCAGTTTTGTCCAACCATGACTGGTTGGCTACTTTCCACTGAAATTAGTTAGCAACACTGATTGCAGTGTCATAAAGCTGCTAGTATGGATCTTGTTTGATAAATGTCTAAAATAAATAGACTGTTTATTTCTTCATTTCTAGAAGATATATGCTGAGATCATCATTAGTGATTATGTCATGATGTTATAGTATATAAAGTTTGATTCTTTTGTACTTCTTTATTACTTCTAGTTCATCTCTCCAGGTTAATAGCAATATAGAAATTAATAGTAGTGAGAAGTGGTAGGACAAAACTACATATCTGTATCCTACAGCAGCACATATAAGTATTTATAATTGTTTAGAAAAACAATAATAATAATTGCGGCCTACAGTACATTTTGTTGTGGCCACCTCAACTGGGAACCGCCCTGTTTAGACAGCTGGAGGGTGTGTCAGCTGAGCTCATGATAATACCCTGAGAGACGGCTAAACACCTTGGCTAACTCTCTGGTGTGTCATCTTTAGACCAAACTGTGCTCTAAACAACTATTCTAGATACCAGCTATTCTCTATACTCTATTCTATACTCACATTAGGACACACACCTCATAAAACTATTCAGCCTGATGTTGATAGTGTTTACAGTGGAGATAATATAATTCAAATGGCAGCAATAAATCAGAATAAACTGTCTAAAACTGCATGTAGCAGATAAAGAAATGCTTGGACAATGACAATGTGTTAAAAATACATAGTGCTCCAATAATCCAATAGATTATGTTAAAACCAGTCACCCAGACCTGGTGGCTGCCACAAACTCCTGACATTGTCAGTTCGATACTGTCACTCTATATCTGTGCTCTATATCCTAGCCTGTTTCCTACATCGTGCAGAACATCCTTACCCAGGTGTCACTGGGTGTAGGCTTGAAGGAGAAGGGTCCATGGCGTTTTATGAGCATGACAGCAGTAGTCCAACAACATGAATGGCTGCTGGTTAATGAGAGAATGTGGGCTACATGTGCATGTGTGTGTGTTTGAAGGGATGTTGGAGGTGAGGCGGGGAGGGTTGGATTAGAAGATGTGGGATTACTACTAAGAAGGCAGAGTAAATCCCAAAAGGGATAAAGGTGAACACGCTCGAATATAAGTGTTCATACATACAGTGGGTCCCCACACTCTGTTCACTCTTTTCATTTTTCTTACCTCAGATCTCCCTGTTTTTCTCATCCTCCCACTACATCCTTCAACTTGTTTCTTTTTTCGCTGCTGTCCTGTTTTCCAACTGTGTCCATCTAGTTTTCTCTCTGTCGTCCTTCACATCTGGTGCTTCTCTTCCTCTTTCAAACCTTATTTTAATGTTTGTCTTCCTTCAAATAAACATTTCAAAATAATAAAGTAGAGCTAAAATGATTAATGACTGATTCATCAATCAACAGAATGATCAATAGCTATTTTGATAATAATAAACTAATACACTGTGATTTTTTAGACATGTTTTAGGCTAAACTATTCATCTAATTGAGAAAATTAATTAACAAGAAATTAATCATTAATTAGTTGAAACCCTGAAGACATTTTCCACCATAAAATCAACAGACTAAGCTCCTGACACCAACATGCAACACCTAAACACAACTTTTTTATGTATTTTAAGGTGGGATCTTGTTTGTATTGTATTTTTATTTAATCCCACTTTGATCTGTGATTCTTCCTGGATGTCCATCTTTTGGGCAATCTGCAACAAAACATCAATAAAGACACAATTACAATCTTGTCTGGCAGTTCTGAATGCAAACACAAGATGGTAGTATGGCCTCACAAGCACAGAAAGAATAGATCTGTGAATGAAGAACAAGCACAACAATAAGAGATGATAAAACTGGCATGTGTAGAACCAGCAGCTCAAGATGCTCCCTGATGTGCCAAGCACAGACTTCTGTTATCGGTCACACAAATAATTAGCCTTCACACTTATTTTTCACTTACAGATTGTGAATGAAAGCTGATCAGAGAGAGATTTTGCAGGAGAGGCAAAGCTCATCCATCATCTGTTCATGTCAACAAAGAAGAAAAGAGGGTGGGATAAAATGATGTGGCGATGGAGGTGAGGTAAAAGCAGAAATGACAACACATCAACAGCCCCGTCTCCCTCCAGAAATAGCAAAAGACACTCTATATTCAACTCTTCAGCATCACTGCCTGCGTAGGACTGTGGCTGTGGTAAAGCACACGCACGTGCGCCTTTGTATATGAATGCGGGGTTGACTTGGCTGCCACGGTAACCTGCATCACTGTAACCATAGTGATGGAGAGCAGGGGTTTGGTGGGGGTTTGGCTGCAAGTCGAGCAAAGTAGGCGTCATAACTATTCATCCCCTTGTGTGTGTGTGTGTGTGTGTGTGTGTGCGCACGCGCACGCTCTGGTTGTGAAGTTCACAGGAAACTATTAAAAATCTGTATTTTTACATCAAATAGGAAAAACAGACATGAATTTAATTTGAAATTATTCTTGTGATGATGGTCCAGTGTTTTTCACCGTTTAGCATTACAGTGTCATTCCTTCCTTTGTGTAACTGCCCTAATGAAGACACACAGTCACAAATAAGTTTGTGCACAGTGATCACAGTCATCTCGGTGCCAAAGCGAACAACAATAATCTGTTTAAACGACAACAGACCGGTGGCCCTCACACTCATTTTCATGAAGTTCTTTGAATGACTAGTTTCAAAGCACATCAAATACAACCCTGCCCACGCTCGACCAGCACCCAGTTTGCCTACAGAGCACAGAGATCAACAGAAGACACCATCTCACCACTCACCCACCTAGAACACAAGGGGACATATGTATGGATGCTTTTCATTGATTACAGCTTGGCATTCAAAATTATTGTCCCAGGCAGGATGAGCAACATTCTGTTTGACCTGGGTCTCAGTCAACCTATGTGCATGTGGAATTCAGACTTCAAATGTTCACTGAGAAGATTAAAGCCATTTACCTTAGTATAAAAACTGTAAACAGGGAAACAGCTAGTCTAGGCTTTGTCCTACAAATCTACCTGCAGGCAATAAAAACAAGCATGCAATTTTGCATTTCCATGCTTCCCCCAACCGGGAAAATTCATGGGAAGGGGACCCACTGTAACCTTTGACCACCAAAATCTAATCAATTCATCATTGAGTCCAAGTGGATGTGTTGTGAATTATATCCTTACCCTATGTTTGTTATGTCTTGCTTCTTAAGGGGTGTGGCTTCACGGTGATTGACATTGTATGTTCTGAGTAATGGTTGACTCCGTAGTATGGAGAATATGTCAGTTTCCTATTAGCGTTGCAGCGATCACACACATAGTAATCGGCGTTAGCATAGCCACGCCTGGAATTAGCTTTAGTGCATGCTGGCTGAATTTACTGTTACGTAGTACTTATGAATGTGATGCAGTTTGGTACTAAATGTTGGCGAGCTGTTGAACTTATGTACTCCTTATATTCTTTATGTGTTGCAGATGACTGATATGTATGCTCTCAAGAAATAAACAGTCATGGTTAATCTGATGACTCGAGACTCTCTAACCGGAGTACAACTATGGCTGATTAAAATGGCATGGCAAATATCCCCTCATGAAACTGCAAACTGTCAATGCTACACTGCGCTGCACTGGAACAGACATGACAGCGGTATCAATCATGTCATCTCTTTCTCAGTAAGAAAGCTTATATATGCAGGTATCAGTAGGTATCAGTACATTTAGACATCAGCTTGAAGCATGTTACCAGTTCCAGGCCTGATATGAGTGTGAAAAATGCTGATGGAGACGGTTCAACCAAGTGCTCCCGTGTCTCACCAGATGGGTGAGTTTAGACAGTCTGTGTAGTGGCCACAGAGGCAGAGAAATGAACACACAATGTGTCTTCTGTTCTCCTGTTCTGTTTCAGAATTCTTTAGAAATCAATTCAACACACAGAGAAGACTGAGGCTCATTGACCTACATGTCAACATGGTGTTGTACTGCAGGAGATGCTGTAATTACAATTCTGTGTGTTTTTGTGTGTGTGTGTGTGTGTGTGTGTGTGTGTGTGTGTGTGTGTGTGTGTGTGGTATATAGATATTGATGTTACACAAAAAGAGTGATCCATCATTATTAATTCAAGATGGGAAACATTACCTAGGAGGAAAGAGAGGAGGGGAATTGACAGGTGAGAGTGAGGAAAGAAAAAGGCAAAAGAAAGAAAAGACTTGTGATGACTGGTTTCCAGAAAAGAGTGGCAAACATTGTCTGGTTCCAGCTTCCAGCTTTTTAAAGATGAGGATTTGCTGCTTCTCTATTTTATAGCATATATTTTATGTATCTCAATTATGTTAAACAATACAAGACGTGAATACTTTGGTTTCTGTGATACTTTGATAGATTTATTTTATGTATCTCAATTATGTTAAACACAAGACGTGAATACTTTGGTTTCACTATTTTCTGACATTTTACAGAGCAAAGGATTAATAGACAGTGAAATGAATCAGGAGTTGCAGCCCTAAACTATACATATGCCTTCTCGGGGGGCGGCTGTGGCTCAGGAGGTAGAGTGGGTCATTTCCTAACCAGAGGATTAGCGGTTCAATTCCTGGCTTGTCCAGTCAAGATGTCCTTGAGCAAGACACTGAACCCCCAGTTGCTCCTGGTGATGTCACCGGTGTATGAGTGCTTGGGAGTGCGACTGGGTGAATGGCCAAATAGTGTGAAAGCGCTTTGAGTGTGCTGTAAAAGCATAGAAAGGCGCTATACAAGTATAAGACCATTTACCATTCTCTTACAGCCAAGCTTCCACTGCTCTCCTGGCCTTTCAATCATCTTTTGATCTGTTGACACTTCCTCTCTCTTTCCTCCACAATTCTTCCCTCTGGTCTCCATCCTCCATTTCCACCATTTTCGCCCCTTCCTTCACTTTCCAAATTTCATTTCCTCTCACTTAAACCATCCCTTTAATTATTCAGCTGCAGACGTCTGTCCACAGCTGCTTACAATAAGTATAACACAAAAAGTCAACACATTTTTTAAATCCCATAATCCCAAGCAGGCCTGTAAATGAGAAATGCAACAGTCAACAATGTAAGGCTTTGTTTTTCTGCCACAGTCTCTCTTTTCAGTTCTCACCACCCTTCCTCCTGCTCTGCTTCTCTCTGCCCCTCCACAGTATGTTTTCATTTCGCTCCTTTAAGGAATGTAAATACAGCAGCTGACTGACCGCTGCACCAAGGATGTGGCTTCCACATGAATCTCTCAGCCAGTTGTCTCGAGTTTTAGGCACAAGGTTTGTGTGTCAAGAAGATGAGGCTTTTATGGCTGCAGACATCTCAGCTGCTGTCATGTCATGGTCAGGTTTGAGGCTGATGATGGCACCCTTGTAGTGTTACGCTTCTTGCCAACCTAATTTCAATAAATAAATGCTGGCCTGTCTCTTTCTTGCATACATAAAGCTCATTGTTTCACATCAACCCAAATGCTTGTCTTACATTCTCTTCACTTTGCCCCAGTTGGTGTATTTTTGAATCACTTCCAGCATCTAAATACAGGAAATGACATGCCTGCCAACATCTGTAACATTTTTGCTCCTCTCTCTCTCTTTCTCTCTGTGTATGTGTAGAAAAGCTGAAAAGTCGAACAAAAACTCAGCACTTGGTGTACTTTGGTAACTCACTTCTGGACACCTGATGTCTATCTTGCATGACACACAGTAAGTCACTCATGCAAATGCAGCAGCTGTTAGACACAAACACTTTTCCACGTTGCTTTTGCTGCTGCAGAAATGTTGCATCCACTTTATAGGTTAATACTGCTAATCAAATCCTGCTGCTTAAGGCTCCCACAGAGATACATTCACATCACAAGCTGATCTAATTTCCACCAATGCCTCTTTCTCCCTGTGTTTTTCCACAAAACCAGACCATCATCATCTGCACCCAACACATACCAGAAAAGCGTGGCACATTGCCTTGTTTTTCCTCCATAAACACGCACACATGCCTTCAGAGCTACTACCTTCCCAGCACGCAAACAAACCACTCACGACCATTCTCTGTCTCTCTCTCTCTCTCCGCCGTCACACACTCTCTCCCCTTGACACACATACACACACACCTCTGTGAAAGCGCCTCACATTCCCACAAGTGTCGAAGCGCTTTGGGGGAATTGGATGGAGCTGCCGCGTCTCTCTCCGGCTCGGAGGAATAAAAACGCCGTTTATTCGCTGGAACAGAGCGCGCACCATTTTTGTTCCGTGGTCTAAGAAGAAGTTGTAATCTGTCTTTTCTTTTGTTTTATGTGAAATCAAGTTTTTGGACACGGAAACAAGGATAGTGCGAGTTTTACGCATTAAGGCAAGCAGAAAGGACATCCATCACACGAGCGGCTTTTGTCTGTTTTCCAGTTAAACAAGGAATATTATTCCCACCTGGGAATTGCAAGCCCTGCATTAACGACTTTAAAGGGGTGGAATGTGTTAAAGTATTTTCCTTCAGTCTTAAGTGGGAGCGTGTTTCACAGTCCACATACTCTCCGGATGGCGTAAAGCGCGTTCTTGAATAAAGTCGTCAAAATAGTCCTCCCATAGTCTTACAACTCCACTTTGACCTAGACAAACTACAGCGATGCCAATATATCGTCTCTACTGAAGACTTTGCAGAGACTGCGCTGCTGGCTCCAAACCCTGCATTCATTTTCTCCGGTATGGCATTTCATTTGAAGTAGCCTTCAAAGTGGAATATGGCTTTTTACTTTCTCCTGGGTACAGCCTAATCCCTACCGTGCGTAATGACACAGTGACGGTGAAAACGCGGCATTTGTAAAGGTAAGAACTGAGCTCTGTTTGACCTCAGACTTTTAAAATACTCTCTCTCGAGTTGGCAGATCACCAGTCTATCCTTTTATTCCCATGTATATTAAATGACGTTTTGTTTCATATTTGATGAACAAGGACGTTTGACATCAGCCACCAGCCCCTAATAAACTGACAATCTTTTAGCTCGTGGGTAAATCTATCTATCTATCTATCTATTTGTCTTCTTTCAACAGAAAGTGATGATAAGTCCATCCTACTCTATGCTTTTTTGTGTTTATTGTATTTATTGATTTATTCAGGAAAAGAAATCCACGACCCGTTTATTTTGCCAATGTTGAGATGATCACTTCTCAGTCATCCTGCGGCCTTTTATTATAGTTAACTTCCTACAGCAGTAGTTTAGGGAGGCATGTCAGTGTTTATGCCATCAAAGATGGGTCGATGGTCATTTTCAGCAGTGCTTGGGAGTAACTGTATCTGCTACAGTTACTGAGAAAATATGCTGTTAAATTACAACTACTAATCAAAATGTTGGTGATTACAAAGGGGTTACATCTTAATATGTTCTTTTTAGTAAAAAGCTTAAAATTGAACCTTCATCCTGTTGCTTTCCATCGTGGCTGTGCAGTAAGGTCTTCTTTTGACATACAGTATTTCTGAACAACATGGGTAGCCAAGCCACTGGGACGAATTTGACTGCAACACCATCGATGTTATTGGTTTACAAGGAGCTGTCTCTGCGTCTAGACAAGCTCCATTCATGTGCAGGATGCGCTCAAATTTTGAGTGTCATTTTTGATTGGTTGTCTTGTTTGACATAACACCGCCTCTTGCCTACCAATTAAACACATGCGCATTGTGTGCCATCCCTGCTTTCAACCAGTCGACGCCAAGGTGTGGTTCAGTGGTGGAAATTCAACAGTATTTTCCTTTTGAAATCAGAAAAGGACTGTAATGTTACTGTACAGCATTTACCAGCAGTGAAAATGCTGTCAGCATTGACATCCACAGTTACACACATGAAATAAAGAACCTCCTGCTCCACCATGTTATTTATGTTCAATTTGCAGCTAATTTGGCTCTGTAGTTGCTCAGTGCCCACACACTATACTGTATATTGTTAGAAAAGTAATCCAAAAGCAAGTGAATATAATAGGAGACATTAATTAAGCAACAAAAATAGTTACACATGTGTCATTTTGCACAGTGAAGGTCAAACATCCAAGTAAAGTCACAATATCAGCAGGGGGACTTATCAGAAGCTGCTCTGTCACTAGTGTTATTGTATTTAGTGGAGCTGAACTGGTGAGTTAGGAGCAACTCTCACCTTGAGAGCAGTGTAAAGAATTAGAATAAGAGCTGGATTTAATCCAAAACTGCATCTAAGTTTAATGTGAGATTCATTAAGAAGTCAGGGAACATATTAGCTAATCCTCCTTCACAAATATCATGCTAACTGAATAATCGTATCTGAAAACCCATCTGGTAGGTCAGCACTTTCTTCAGAGACCCTCACTGAGAGATGTCCACAAACCACCAGCTGATAGTAAGAGTTCATCCTCTAGACCCCTGTATGAAGAAAACAAGGTTTAAGATGTGATTTCTGTTTCCTCTGAGAAGATATTTAAGGCCAAATTAGGAACTGCTGGCTTATGGGTAACAGAAAGATTATTTTAATAAAATTATTTTTTAAGCTGTGGGGAGAAGCCCTCTAGCATCCAAGTATGGACCCTACTGTGGTCCCAGGACTCCCGTTTGGGCACTGCCAGGCAGTTAAGGTCACGTTTTTATTGGCCAAGTATGTTACACACACAAAGAATTTGTTTCCAGTAGACAACTGAGGCAGCCATCTGCAGCACCAACTTGCACACACACACACACACAAACTGAGGGTGGCACTGTCCCTACAAGGCAGCTGACCTGGACATCAGGAGCAATTAGGGTTCAAGGACACTTCGACATGTGGACTGGGGAGAATGGGAATTGGACCGCTGACCTTCCAGTTGTCTAGCTCCAGACCCGTAGCCGCCCCGCCCAGTTGGCGACAGGTCATGCCTCAGGATGATTGTGGGTGACTGATAATGAGGACTGTGAGGAAGACAGAATCAGTCATTTTGCTGGAATCAGCAGGGCCCTCCACTACACACACACACACACACACACACACACACACACACACACGTGCCTGGCATGAGCATCTGATGACTGAATTTCAAACCTTAACTCAACCAAAGAGCTAAATTTATCACAGGAGGCAGTGCCACTGATTCAGTGTGAGGGTTGTGAGACTCAAGAAAAAGCAAAGCTGTGGATCATCAAAATAACGCAAAAAAAAACAATATGGTGATGAGGGTGCTGGATTTGACACTCAAGCGCTCACATCACAGAACGTGTCGCTGAAAGGTCAGCGGGGAAACACAGAGTGACATATTCTCCAGACAGATGACTCACCCTTGACAATGAGTCTGCAGGAGTAACGCAGTGTCCAGACACACGCTCGCTATCTGTTTATCCTTTACTCATCCTTCTTCGCTCTGATACAAATTCCTCCTCCTCTATCTGCTGGATTTTGTGCTCTTTTCATATCTTCTCTAATGACAGCCAACTTCCCAAAAAATTTGTGTTTAAATCAAATGGACATGAAACACCTTTTAATCCCATAAAACGAATGGCAGTCTGTGTATCTGGTGCGCAACAAGCACAAAAACTCCAGTCAGGGCAGGAGGCTTAGCCAAGCACACAGGTGTCGTATTTTCAGCCTGGTGCTGTGTTCAACAGTTTAGCTGATTCTCTGACTCTATTCTACTCACTTAATGGAATTTACCTAGCGTTAATGGCCACCTAAAAGACAGGTGCTGGTCATGACAAACTAATGAGAATGAGAAAAATGACAGCACCGTGAAAGCTTACTGTATATGATCTAACTAGAAAATATAGCCAACGTTTCGACCCACCTGTCTTCTTCAAAGCATTAAGATAACTTGTGGCCAACATTTATGTGCTCACATCTCACATAATAGGAAAAAAATATTAAAAACATCCCTAAGACATATCATCAAGTCTATGCCTTTTCTATAAATGTATATATATTAATGTCAAATGCATAAATAAAGAGAGGTACTTTAAAACCAATCTTGAACATAGAATATTCTGAATAAATATAACATCTCACTCCTAAGACTATAACTTTTAAAGCACATTCTTAAAATACTGTTGGATACAGGTTTGGAAATATCATTCAAAAAAACGTCAGCTATATTTTCTCTATATATCATGTAATCTTTCAGTGTGTGGTCATTTTCCTCCTTTTCTTTTATAATCACTGTCATAATAGAAAACAAGGCACTGAACAGAAGTGACACTGGACTGTGAAAGATATAACTGCAAGGTTAAAAGGCCACATTTTCATCATGGTACATAACAAAAGCCCCTGTCCACTCATAGTTTCCACTTTGGCTGATTAGCCTTCTTTTCAGGACTGTGTAGGTGTGTACTGACTGAGCTGAGTGGCACTTTTTAAGATGAGGAACTTGCATCTTAATTATTCTTACTTACATGGTGTTGGGAGATTTCCTGTAGCTCTTACCTGAGCTCACACTTTACACATAAGCAAAGGTCAAATGCCTCATTCATCTCATATCAAATCCACTATAATTGCCTGACTTTGTGCATACGTACTGTCTCTATTACTGGTGGATTTTGTTGCACATATAACTAATGAGCATTGTGGTAAAGTCAACTAAATATAACCTCTGTGTGTGTGTATGTGTGTGCTCTTGTACTTGCTATATAGTGAGGACATTTTTGGAAAAAGACTACTATTTGGCCGCTCCTCACTTTCTGAAACAGCTTTTCAGGTTAGAATTAGGTTTAGGTGAGGGTTAGTGTCAGGCATTTAGTTCTGATGGTTAAGGTTAGGGTAAGGGGCTAGGGAATACATTATGTCAGTGAGTGTGCTCACAAAGATAGAAGTGTGTGTGTGAGCAGCTAACTCCTGTTTTTTTCTGCTCTACACAGGAAGTAGGCAAATGAAGGGTAATCCAGAGGAGTGGAGAGACATCAGCAGAGACCCCCAGGTTAAAAAACTGTGGTAACAGACTAGAACTACATAAGGATTAGCATTGGATTGGCTTTATTTTATACTGATCCACTAAAAATATGCCTGGATTAACCCAGTATCCCCAATAGGGCCGACATCTCTACTTTGCACGCTTTGCAGTTTCCTAATGAAGCATCACAGTGGCAGGTGATATGTAGTGTAGACAGCCTTAGCTGTTCTAGCCCTTCTTGAAAGATCATGAAGCAAAACAAGTGTTTCACAAGACACAACAGCTCATACAAAGTCTGGATTTTAAGCAGGTAGTGCAGAGATTTCTAGGACAGAAATGTGTTTCAGGAATCAACTGTATAAACTGTTGACACATGACATGAACAAACTTAGTGTTACATGTCATCTCATTTCTCTGCTCTGCTTTACGCCACATACTGGCTTGGTGAAGCCAAAAAAATCATCTTTAAAACATCATAGAATGTACGACATTTTTCAGCCCATTAATTCAATTCTGTTTATCGTAGATTTCGCTGACCTTGACTTTCTACCCTCTAGGCAGCTGCTGGTTCCAATTCATAATCTCATAGCATTATGCAATAAAGGTCAACTTACAAATGTAACACATCCTTAGATAATTCCTCCCAGGAAGGTTTGTTTTCTTTATCTATTTGGTTGTAATTACTCTATCACGGTGGAGTAATGCAGCTGTAGCAGAGTCTGTTTTGAATACTCCGCCATGTCAGTGTGTTTATGGAAACTTTATGGACATTTGACACTCAGCTGCTGAAAAAACATCACATTTGTGAGTTATTTTGTCAGAAAAATGAAAACTAGAAGCAAACATGAACACTGTAAAAAGGCTCATGTGAATTTCTTCCATTATAGGCTGATGGCTTTTCGAAAGGCACCAATTAAGCAGAGTTCCTTAAAAAATTTATCACAACTGCATTTCGTCCAA